TAGCACTTGCAAGACATTCTACAATAGCACTACAAGAAAAATGGCTTTTCGTAGCATCCGAATAACGCTATCTAACTATTCTATAGCGTTTTGACAAGCGCTATATCTGCGCCCGTCATAATAGGTATGCCACTTTCGATAACGTTTTTTAGCACTGCTATCGTATCTTAGTCAAATATAACGTTTTCTTTTATGTAATTGTATATTTTACAATAGCAATTATACTTTGTTACGAATTGTTATATTCATAGCATTTTATATATGTAACCATTTTTGTAATTGTTCTCTAGGTTTTCTATTTTGATTTTTTGGATTATTTGACAAATTAAAAAAGAAAAATGTCATATTTTATTACATTTATATGAAAACCATATACAAAAGACCTATATTACAAAGTAAAAGGACAAAATAAAAAATAAATTTCATACAACTCTTGTTTTTAACTTGTGAATACTTCACACCCTTGGACCTCTTGGACCTCCATCTTTGAAACTTCTTCTCCGTAATCATCAACAATATTAGCTTCCTCCTTTGCCAAGAGCTAAGCAACAAAACAAGACCAATAAAGAAATGTAAAAACTCAAACTTTGTGTGAAAAGAATCTAGGAAGTGGCAATTTCATAGAGAAAACAAAGTCCATATTCAAATCCAAAAACACAAACACAAATTGCTTTAAAATCATAGCTTTGTCGGCATGAGTAGAACGGATCTATTGAGTGAAAAAATCACATCAGCTCAATTCAATAAATCAACATAGCTTATAACAAAACTGAAAAAATTAAACCTTGAGGAACTGAGTATGAGGAAGAAACCTAATCAATTCTCTAGTTGAAATGATTCTCCAAAACTGAGACTAACAACCACCGCCATCTATAGCGCCCAAAATTGAATCTGCATAAACCATATGAGAAGAAGGAGCAACCTTAAGAACTCTCATCTGAACTGTTTCTTCATTAACAACCAGATCTGAGAGTGAGAGGAAGATCGAAAGAGGAGAGGAAAAGAGAGAGACGACGAGAGGGAATGAAAGGAGAAACTTACATCGAAGACTTGAAAGCACTCGTTGGCGCTGCTCCGAAGGGAGATGAAGGTGGATTTGAGGAAGAAGAGGCTCCGAACAGAGATGATGCTGTAACAGTCAATTGAAGCGCAGGTTAAGAGGCTAGTGAAGTTGCGGACGATGCAGGATCTGAAATGGTGGATCCTAAATAGGCAAATCTGGAACTAGGGTTTGAGGATTTGGTGAAAGAAAAAGATGGGGAAGTGGTAGATGAACCGGAAGTTTCCCTCGACTGATTAGCTAATTTTTTCAATGGATGGGCAAACGAGAAATTGATTCACTCAATTGATTTTCGCTCAAGTAGAAGATAATCAATTTTTCATACGCTCTCTCAGTTGATTCTCTCTTTTTCACCTAGTTAAAGGAGCAGCCACCGAAATTTTTTTAGTTCACAGATAAAATAAGTCAAAAAGTTTTACAACAAAAAATTGGCGGCCATGAAAAATAGATGCGTTTTAGTTAACTCTATGATAACGTTTTAAAAATTGTATATGCTATTACAATACAGACGATGTTAAAAACCTAAAGAATTAAAAAAATAAGCGGAAGCACAATATTTTCACAAACCCAATATATTATAGCGTTTGTCTATTTATAAACGCTATAGAAAAATTACGAATAAGTCAACAATAGCAAAACACACATAAACGCTATCTTATAATGCTATTAAAACTCAATATTCTTGTAGTGTTGTTATACAAATCTCTTAAAGAGTTTAAAACAAGACATCACATAGACATGCATTGCCATTTTGCCATTACTATGGATTTCAACAAGACAATTCCTCCCTTCATTGCAACATGTTTTCACATACCAACCAATTAACTTTGATTCCAAACTACCATGTTTAGCATTGCTTGTTATAAACAATCCTATATTTTCTTGAAACTCCTTCATTTTGAATCCATTGTCTTCTCCATTTTTGCGTTTAGGTTTTTAAAGCTACGCAAAAAACACAACTTTTTCATATTAAAAAGGCCTGTTTTTAAAATTGCCGACACGAAAAAAAAAAACAATTCTACATTGTTGGGGGCTGGATTGCACCCCTTATTTTAGCTCGGCCCAAATCAAGAATAACTTAATCAACATCAAGCCCAAAAAAGCCCATAAAAGTTGGTCCATGATTCTCTCACCAACTTAGTTTTCCTATAAATAGAGAAGCATCACATTGAAGAAAGGAGAGGAAAAAAAGGAGAAGAAATCCATACTAAAAACGTCTTCAAGCTCTTCAGCTCGTCATCAAGCTCTTCAGCTCGTCTTCAAGCTCTTCAGCTCGTCTGCAAGCAATTCAGCTCGTCTTCAAGCTCTTCAGCTCGTCATCAAGCTCTTTAGCTCTTCAGCTCATCTTCAAGCTCTTCAGCTCGTCTTCAAGCTCTTCAGCTCGTCTTCATGCTCCTAAGCTCGCCTAACTGCCCAGATCATCCATCTCGTCGTCTAGTACATCCAGCTCCTCAGCCGACCGTCCAACTGCTCGCCTTATTGTCCTGATCGTCCATCTCGTCTCTTAGCTCGTCCAACTTCCCAGTTAACAGCTTGGCTCGTCTAGCTTCTCTGCTGGCTGCTCAGCTCGTCCAGCTTCTCAGTTAACAGCTCAGCTCGTCAAGCTTCTCTGCTGACTGCTCAGCTCGTCCAGCTTCCCTGCTGACTGCTCAGCTCGTCCAGCTTCTCTGCTGACTGCTCAGCTCAACTTCTCAGTTAACAGCTCAGCTCGTCCAGCTTCTCTGCTGACTGCTCAGCTCGTCCAGCTTCTCTGCTGACTGCTCAGCTCGTCCAGCTTCTCTGCTGACTGCTCAGCTCGTCAAGCTTCTCAGTTAACAGCTCAGCTCGTCCAGCTTCTCTGCTGACTGCTCAGCTCGTCCAGCTTCCCTGCTGACTGCTCAGCTCGTCCAGCTTCTCAGTTAACAGCTCAGCTCGTCCAGCTTCTCTGCTAACTGCTCAGCTCGTCCAGCTTCTCAGTTAACAGCTCAGCTCGTCCAGCTTCTCTGCTGACTGCTCAGCTCGTCCAGCTTCCCTGCTGACTGCTCAGCTCGTCCAGCTTCTCTGCTGACTGCTCAGCTCAACTTCTCAGTTAACAGCTCAGCTCGTCCAGCTTCTCTGCTGACTGCTCAGCTCGTCCAGCTTCTCTGCTGACTGCTCAGCTCGTCCAGCTTCTCTGCTGACTGCTCAGCTCGTCCAGCTTCTCAGTTAACAGCTCGGCTCGTCCAAATCGTTCCCAAGCTATCCAGCACGTCAACAGATCGCCTAGCTGCAAATATGGCCTAGCTCCCACTTGTTTTAATATAAACTACGAATGGCTTGATCCCTTTCTAAGGGTACGTAGGCAGTCTTTCACAAGACGCAGCTATAAAACTAATAAACTCTATGTTTATCGCCAAGAACAACCTAACTCCCGACCTTCCACGCAATGAGAATGTTTTTCCCTTATCAAAGAACTTACAAATTACTTTGTTGAAATTTGTGCACCAACAGTTGGCGCGCCAGGTAGGGGCAATAAATAAATTCTCCAGCCAAGAAGGTCGAGATTAGGAAGTTTTCAGCTCTCGCTAAGTTCGTCAATCTGATATTTGCTGCTCGTCAACTGTCAGTTCGTTCGTCTGACAGTTGCTGCTCGCCAACGCTCAGCTCGTCTGTCAGACAGTTTCTTCTCCGTCAACTGTCTGCTCGTCGATCTGATAGTTCCTGCTCGTCAACTCTCAGCTCGTCCGTCTGACAGTTCCTGCTCGTCAACTGTCAGCTCATCCGTTTGACAGTTTTTGCTCGTCAACTGTCAGCTCGTCAATTGTCAGCTCATCCGTTTGACAGTTTTTGCTCGTCAACTGTCAGCTCGTCAATTGTCAGCTCGTCCGTTTGAAAATTCCTGCTCGTCCCTCTGACAGTTCCTGCTCGTCAACTTTCTTGCTCGCCAACTGTCAGCTCGTCCGTCTGACAGTTCTTGCTCGTCAACTATCAGCTCGTCCGTCTGACAGTTCTTGCTCATTAACTGTCAGCTCGTCCAACTAACAGCTCCTACACATCTATCGTCGGCTCGTCAATTCAACAATGTTCACTGTAAGTTTTTCCTTATTTACACTAAAAAAAAAAAAATGGAGAAAGTACTTGAAAGCTGACATATCTACACTAACGTTGAGAAAGCACCGTTCTGAATAACTACACTAACGTTGAAAGACTAATCCATCTCATATCTATACAAACGTTGATGATACTAATCTCATTTCTATACTAACGATGAACTATAAACAAACCCAAATTGAATCCGAACCCACAAGTGATAAGTAGTAAGTACCTGAATATAAGGAGTGAGAAGAGAAAGTTACAATGCCCAAACGTAACTAAGCAACAGTCACACGACTCGTCCTCGTAGACATCAATCTCACCGGTTCAATCTCACCACTAACCTCACTCACTTCCCTCACTTTCCTCACGAACCTCAAGTTTTCCGACGAACCCAGAAAAAAGTCGTGAATTTGGGAGAAGGGTAACGACAATTGAAGAAAATTGAGAAGAAGCTATGAGAGCTATTTCAATTTCAGATTATCAAAAACACACTCTCGTTGAGATCTTGGAGAGAGACGACCTAGTGAAACCCTAAACTAAAACGACGTAGCTTCATTTAGTTCCACTAAACGGGCTACCCATTTAAATTTTTCTTAAACCCGTTTCTTATCTTACATAAATGGGCCTGTACTTTTAAAGCCCGTGTAAAAATAAATTAAATAAACGGGTTCGGGCTAAACAATATTATGCAATACCCGTTTAGGCCCGCGGGCTTCAGGCCCGTTTTAACATCCCTGATTGTATATATTAACTGGATTCTCTACCTTCTTTATTTTATGCGGTATGCATATTACCGGTTTGCTGATATGGCACTTTATAAACGGCATGCTCATGATTGAGCTTTAACCCCTTTTTTTAAAAAAAAAAATTGAGCTACAAAGACTCGTGTAACAACAACACTTCTTCATTAATCAACTTATTAAGCTCTGTCGGCAAATGAAAAATGTCAAACAGAGATTCTGAGACATGGTTTGACAACAATTTATGGAGAATGCAGTCTTGTAGCTATTAACGTAAATATATAAAAAGATATAACATTTTGAAATCTCAAAAGAATCTTCAGACATTCACCAAATGATGCAAAAGTGAGGGTCTCTCTTGAGCAATTGTGCTCAGTACACACTTCACTTTCTCTGTTCCAAGCTTCTCCTCAACCATTCTCCACAATTCTGGCATTTTCTGCTCATAAACGAATGCATATCAGAAAATCAAAGTCCACCATATTTCCATCATTCTGCTATACGGAAAACTCCCAATCTATTTTTCTGCACTTGTGTGGTTGACAATAGTGGCAATTTTTTTTGATGACTTTATTTTGACAAGAAGAGAACACTGTTACCTTTGTTAGCCATAGCATGTAGACACCAGCATGCAATGCTTGAGCTTGGAAATCTTCAAATTTGGTATCCGGAACGATCATAGAAGATTCTAGAAGATGGATCTCGTTATCAATGAAGATGGCAATTTCTTCATTCATAATGATACTCTCTCCGGGTTCAGGTGAAACATCTGAATCATTGCAAGCGAAATATATTATCCAATTAAGAGAGAGGAACCGCCGGTGAAGCCATAGGGCCTGAAAGAGAAAGTGTAACAACTCAAATAAGTCCCTAATTCGATCATCTCCATAGTAGCACGACAACAAACTGTTTACAAAACTATCTTTGTCATCCAAACCACTGTCGCGATGATAGCTTAGCGCTAAAGAAATTATGCGTTGACAAAATCCAACTTGGTTGTTTTTTTAATAACAGATGTATGATAGGAGCTAGATCTTCATACCCTGGCCATCTCTACACTAATTAATTTTTGAAAATCAAAGATATCATACCTCTCGTCCCACGTAACGTTCTACCAATTCTTTGTTCCAATCCAGCTCTTCCTGTCATATAATCGTAGATTAGTTTTAGGAGACATCCTCATTTTCAGCACAAATGTAAAAATAAGATTACTGTGGGAAAAAATAACGGTACCATAACAGGGATGGGTTAGCAAGGAAGACAAAGCGTACCTTCCAGATTTTACGTGCCTCAGATTTATCATAAGCATTGCCTCCTTTCACATAAAGTGACTCCAAAATCTTGAGCATCAACCGCTGGACATTAATGAAAACAAAACAGTTGAGCTGCATGGAACACTTCATCAAAACGAAGAATGATAGTTGTACTTTTTACTTCCAAGACCTAACATAAGTTGGGGTAAGTTAGACTGATGTATACTCTAGATTTTTAGCAATCATATAAACTGAATATACGGTTCTTACTCTACGATAATGGAAGCAAGAACTATCGGCTACATGAAGCCCGGCCCACCTTTTAGATTTGTTCAACTCTTGTATCACCTAGAATAGACAACATATATCTATGTAATCGGAATCACATATAATAGAAAACTTATGGTGTATCTTAGACAATATGAAACTTTCACAAGTTCAGCTAACAAAAGGAACCAAATTAATGAAGTCAGAGAAACGTTGCAAAGTTAAGTATATCTGACCATACAAAAAGGTTACAAGTTCAGACCATATGTTCAAAAGATCAGGAATGATATCTGAAGAAATGTAGAAAATGATTTACCTGCTCAATTGCCATGTAGGAAACCAACCAGCAACGGTGATACCATGCACGATAGTTCATCTTTGATCTCTGCAAAAGGCATGTATTTTGATTAGGAGCTAGAGATTTTTTTAGGAACAAAGTAAGCGGTTGTGTCATATAAGTAGGAATGGTGAGAGTGACCGACCATTCAATATATACATGATAGCCAACTTGTGAAGACTAGGAGAAACCAATATTTATTTCATTAGATATATGATGAACTTTCATTAATTAAAGCATCAAATCTGGAACTATACCTCGCCTATTGATTCCACTAACTCAGATTCTTTGGTTATAATCACTTGTGGTGTAGAAAATCTCTGAGAAATCATCTTAATTATCCACCTTCTGTTGAAATAAAAACCAAATATTACGAGGAAAGTAAATGGACAAGAACAAGTAGGAACTATTCAGGCTTTGACAGAAAAATGCACTTAAGATCAGAAAATGGGTTTGCATTACTAAAGCATAACAGTGACCGGAAACATTGATTCTAATGAATACAATGAATCATAAAGACCGACCTATGGCTCCATGTTGACTCACTCTTAGGAGAATTTGAAAGAATGAGCCCAGCGAGACGAAGTTCTTCCGTGAATGCCGAAAGTTGATCCTTTTTTGATAATATCAACTTTCTATCTCCAGAACACACATACAAGACGAGGTTAAACACTAGGAAACATATTAAATCAATTATTACTTATATGAGTACCTAGCATTCCATGCAGTTCCAAAGTCTGAACTTAACAGCAAAACAGCTTGGCTATGCCTCATAACTTCAATCTCGGGAGTACCGGGGGAACAAGAGAAATTCTCAATTTGAGACTCATTACAAGCGTTTCCATGGCGTTTGTACTCCTCAAACGCAAGCAGAAACACATGTTTGGCATCTTTACATAATTGAACAAGTATATCAGTTGATATTCCCAATTTGTGATCTTGATTCCAGAATTTTCTTGAGGTTTCATTGTTAGGCTGGTGTTCATTTTGATAGACACTGGAGGAACCTGCTTCTTCATCCAGCATGTTGAATTGTGAGGGGTGAATAAAACCTACTTCATCACTGAATTCAGAGAGACTAAATAAAGTAAGAGGAAGCATTAACTAAGGAGTGAGGACTATGGTAAGAGAATAGGAAGAAACCAAATTCAATTCAAACTCAAACCAATTATTGAGAACATTAGACTCACATAAGAGGGTCAGATTCAAGAACATGCTCGAACAGCTTCAACAAGGTAAAGCAACCTTCTTCAGAACATGATCCTTGTCTCATTTCCTCTAGCCTTTTCAAAAACCCCGCACTTTCGATATCTGTTCTCCTTCTTTCGCTTATAATTTCTCACTATCTTCGAGTTCTGAATCTTCGTCTCTCGTGGCGAAATTTGCCTAGCAGGATATCTGCAGACGGAATCAGAATTCGAAATTAGGGATTTAGCCGGAGAAAATGGTTCAAGCCGGAGAGATTTCTGCTGTTCTCCGACCGCGCTAGTGAAAAATCACAAAATGGTCCTATTTACCCTTTTTACTCAAATTTGTCCAATCATCGATATTTAATTCCTTACAAGATTTTCCTGTTTACTGCAAGGAAAAAAAAAAGTCACTTATTATGCTAACAAAAACATACAGTACTCCTTCAAAACGACGATTTGAGTAAGTTTTAAACATACAAAAACATTAATTTTCGAAAATTAATTAGTGTAGAGATAGCCATGGTATGAAGATCTAGCTCCTATCATACATCTGTTATTAAAAAAACAACCAAGTTGGATTTTGTCAACGCATAATTTCTCTAGCGCTAAGCTATCATCGCGACAGTGGTTTGGATGACAAAGATAGTTTTGTAAACAGTTTGTTGTCGTGCTACGATGGAGATGATCGAATTAGGGACTTATTTGAGTTGTTACACTTTCTCTTTCAAGCCCTATGGCTTCACCGGCGGTTCCTCTCTCTTAATTGGATAATATGTGACTTTTTTTTTTCCTTGCAATAAACAGGAAAATCTTGTAAGGAAATAAATATCGATGATTGGACAAATTTGATTAAAAAGGGTAAATAGGACCATTTTGTGATTTTTCACCAGCGCGGTCGGAGAACAGCTGAAATCTCTCCGGCCTAAACCATTTTCTCTGGCTAAATCCCTAATTTCGAATTCTGATTCCGTCTGCAGATATCCTGCTAGGCAAATTTCGCCACGAGAGACGAAGATTCAGAACTCGAAGATAGTGAGAAATTATAAGCGAAAGGAGAGCAGATATCGAAAGTGCGGGGTTTTTGAAAAGGCTAGAGGAAATGAGACAAGGACCATGTTCTGAAGAAGGTTGCTTTACCGTGTTGAAGCTGTTCGAGCATGTTCTTGAATCTGACCCTCTTATGTGAGTCTAATGTTCTCAATAATTGGTTTGAGTTTGAATTGAATTTGGTTTCTTCCTGTTCTCTTACCATAGTCCTCACTCCTTAGTTAATGCTTCCTCTTACTTTATTTAGTCTCTCTGAATTCAGTAATGAAGTAGGTTTTATTCACCCCTCACAGTTCAACCTGCTGGATGAAGAAGCAGGTTCCTCCAGTGTCTATCAAAATGAACTCCAGCCTAACAATGAAACCTCAAGAAAATTCTGGAATCAAGATCACAAATTGGGAATATCAACTGATATACTTGTTCAATTATGTAAAGATGCCAAACATGTGTTTCTGCTTGCGTTTGAGGAGTACAAACGTCATGGAAACGCTTGTAATGAATCTCAAATTGAGAATTTCTCTTGTTCCCCCGGTACTCCTGAGATTGAAGTTATGAGGCATAGCCAAGCTGTTTTGCTGTTAAGTTCAGACTTTGGAACTGCATGGAATGCTAGGTACTCATATAAGTAATAATTGATTTAATATGTTTCCTAGTGTTTAACCTCGTCTTGTATGTGTGTTCTGGAGATAGAAAGTTGATATTATCAAAAAAGGATCAACTTTCGGCATTCACGAAAGAACTTCGTCTCTCTGAGCTCATTCTTTCAAATTCTCCTAAGAGTGAGTCAACATGGAGCCATAGGTCGGTCTTTATGATTCATTGTATTCATTAGAATCAATGTTTCCGGTCACTGTTATGCTTTAGTAATGCAAACCCATTTTCTGATCTTAAGTGCATTTTTCTGTTAAAGCCTGAATAGTTCCTACTTGTTCTTGTCCATTTACTTTCCTCGTAATATTTGGTTTTTATTTCAACAGAAGGTGGATAATTAAGATGATTTCTCAGAGATTTTCTACACCACAAGTGATTATAACCAAAGAATCTGAGTTAGTGGAATCAATAGGCGAGGTATAGTTCCAGATTTGATGCTTTAATTAATGAAAGTTCATCATATATCTAATGAAATAAATATTGGTTTCTCCTAGTCTTCACAAGTTGGCTATCATGTATATATTGAATGGTCGGTCACTCTTACCATTCCTACTTATATGACACAACCACTTACTTTGTTCCTAAAAAAATCTCTAGCTCCTAATCAAAATACATGCCTTTTGCAGAGATCAAAGATGAACTATCGTGCATGGTATCACCGTTGCTGGTTGGTTTCCTACATGGCAATTGAGCAGGTAAATCATTTTCTACATTTCTTCAGATATCATTCCTGATCTTTTGAACATATGGTCTGAACTTGTAACCTTTTTGTATGGTCAGATATACTTAACTTTGCAATGTTTCTCTGACTTCATTAATTTGGTTCCTTTTGTTAGCTGAACTTGTGAAAGTTTCATATTGTCTAAGATACACCATAAGTTTTCTATTATATGTGATTCCGATTACATAGATATATGTTGTCTATTCTAGGTGATACAAGAGTTGAACAAATCTAAAAGGTGGGCCGGGCTTCATGTAGCCGATAGTTCTTGCTTCCATTATCGTAGAGTAAGAACCGTATATTCAGTTTATATGATTGCTAAAAATCTAGAGTATACATCAATCTAACTTACCCCAACTTATGTTAGGTCTTGGAAGTAAAAAGTACAACTATCATTCTTCGTTTTGATGAAGTGTTCCATGCAGCTCAACTGTTTTGTTTTCATTAATGTCCAGCGGTTGATGCTCAAGATTTTGGAGTCACTTTATGTGAAAGGAGGCAATGCTTATGATAAATCTGAGGCACGTAAAATCTGGAAGGTACGCTTTGTCTTCCTTGCTAACCCATCCCTGTTATGGTACCGTTATTTTTTCCCACAGTAATCTTATTTTTACATTTGTGCTGAAAATGAGGATGTCTCCTAAAACTAATCTACGATTATATGACAGGAAGAGCTGGATTGGAACAAAGAATTGGTAGAACGTTACGTGGGACGAGAGGTATGATATCTTTGATTTTCAAAAATTAATTAGTGTAGAGATGGCCAGGGTATGAAGATCTAGCTCCTATCATACATCTGTTATTAAAAAAACAACCAAGTTGGATTTTGTCAACGCATAATTTCTCTAGCGCTAAGCTATCATCGCGACAGTGGTTTGGATGACAAAGATAGTTTTGTAAACAGTTTGTTGTCGTGCTACTATGGAGATGATCGAATTAGGGACTTATTTGAGTTGTTACACTTTCTCTTTCAGGCCCTATGGCTTCACCGGCGGTTCCTCTCTCTTAATTGGATAATATATTTCGCTTGCAATGATTTAGATGTTTCACCTGAACCCGGAGAGAGTATCATTATGAATGAAGAAATTGCCATCTTCATTGATAACGAGATCCATCTTCTAGAATCTTCTATGATCGTTCCGGATACCAAATTTGAAGATTTCCAAGCTCAAGCATTGCATGCTGGTGTCTACATGCTATGGCTGACAAAGGTAACAGTGTTCTCTTCTTGTCAAAATAAAGTCATAAAAAAAAATTGCCACTATTGTCAACCTCACAAGTGCAGAAAAATAGATTGGGAGTTTTCCGTATAGCAGAATGATGGAAATATGGTGGACTTTGATTTTCTGATATGCATTCGTTTATGAGCAGAAAATACCAGAATTGTGGAGAATGGTTGAGGAGAAGCTTGGAACAGAGAAAGTGAAGTGTGTACTGAGCACAATTGCTCAAGAGAGACCCTCACTTTTGCATCATTTGGTGAATGTCTGAAGATTCTTTTGAGATTTCAAAATGTTATATCTTTTTATATATTTACGTTAATAGCTACAAGACTGCATTCTCCCTAAATGGGTAGAAAAATTTAAGATAAGAAACGGGTTTAAGAAAAATTTAAATGGGTAGCCCGTTTAGTGGAACTAAATGAAGCTACGTCATTTTAGTTTAGGGTTTCACTAGATCGTCTCTCTCCAAGATCTCAACGAGAGTGTGTTTTTGATAATCAGAAATTGAAATAGCTCTCATAGCTTCTTCTCAATTTTCTTCAATTGTCGTTGCCCTTCTCCCAAATTCACGACTTTTTTCTGGGTTCGTCGGAAAACTTGAGGTTCGTGAGGAAAGTGAATGAGGTTCGTGAGGGAAGTGAGTGAGGTTAGTGGTGAGATTGAACCGGTGAGATTGATGTCTACGAGGACGAGTCGTGTGACTGTTGCTTAGTTACGTTTGGGCATTGCAACTTTCTCTTCTCACTCCTTATATTCAGGTACTTACTACTTCTCTCTTATCACTTGTGGGTTCGGATTCGATTTGGGTTTTTTTTTTTTTTTTTTTGGTCAAACTCATAATTTTCATTGAAATTAAATCTCAAACTCACTCAAAGGAGGAGGAATTACAACCCAAATGAAGGGGGAATACAAGATAACAAGGCAAGAAGTGCCTAAAAATACTTCAAAGGAAGATAAACTAGAGATAAATGCAAGATACAGTTTTACGAAGGAAGTCCAGTGAGACCGAAACAACACGATCCCAAAAACTTCATAAGAGACTGCATCCAGTGCAACCCGAAGGGTTACAAGCTCCGCAACAAGGGCAGAGAAAGCTAACCGGGAGGAAGGTCCTTGCAATACCGGTGACGCTTGATCATCCAAACCACTCCAAACAAGAGGGACTTTTGGGAAGACAAAGAGGCAATGAATGCCAAGATGAGGAAGCATAGCCCTAAACAGAGACTGTACTTCCCAAATTACATCGGCAAAAACAGAGATGCCAATGCAAAAGATTGGGACAAAGCCCTTAGTAACATACCATATTAGAGCTAGTCTAACAGAGACCTCAATACAAGGTAAAAAGGAGTCACCAATAAGGTGGTCCAAGAGGGTCAACACCGAATCCAAGAGCAAGCCAACTTTAATAGTTAAACTTGTTGAGACCAAATGAGAAAGGATAGTCATCCTTACTTCTGCTCCAAACAAAACGGCCTTCAACACAATGCCTCCAATAACAACATCACTAAACACGAGTGAAGTATTTGGTAGGATAATGAACTCTTTCAAAGAGAAGTGATGACTATGAAAGTCCAATTGAACCAGATTCACTAGAGAGTTGCCAATAAAGAGAGTTCCTTGTCTAAGCCTCCAACACAGGAAAGAGAACTCCACCGAATCAAACATTGACATAGTGAAATCGGATAAGAAACTGCATACTGCAGTAAAGGATCGCATGAAAGCGATATGGGTGCCACAAGAGAGCACAAAAGTAGAACCAAAGGCAACAAGAACCAACAAGAGATCTAAGCCCGTATTCCATAAAACCAGAACCTCAAAATCCACAACAATCTGATGACTTTCCAAGGTAGAGGAATCAGAAGGTGAAGAGGGAGAGTAAACCTGGGAAAACGTGATAGGAGGAGAGGTGGAAGTGTCAGAGAAGAAACACGCAACTCTGAATGAGGTGGTCATGGCCATGGTTGGACAAGGGCGAGCTTCAAGATCTCCAACCCAATCTGCAAAAGGAGAACCACCGGGAAACTGAGCTACAACAGTAATGAACGACCTTGCAAGGAGGAGAGGAAGACTCGCCGGCGACGAGAGGCCAGAACCGGTAGAGAAGAGCAAGACAGGAGAGCCAACGGAGAGGAGGCGATCTGGTGGCTCTGGTTGGTCCGGCGGAAGAGCTTCAGCGGTGGTGGTGGCAACGATGACTGCCATGGCGAAGAACAAGACGGAGGCGAGCTCCTGGATCTTCAAACACGGGACTGAGGAGACGCAAATACGGACACAAACTTCTGAAGAGAATCGACGGAGAGCAAGAGAAAAACAGCGGCTACAAGGAAGCTTCCGTAGGCCTTCTCTCACGGCCAAAAACCGGAGAAAGGCGCGACGCACACCGAGCAGGGGAGGAACCGCGGAGGGAGACGTAAAAAAAGGAAGGAGAGGCGATGACCGGACGAAGAAAAGTAGATCGGAGCGGCGGCTTTGGGAAACGAGCCTATTGAGTTTGATTTCATGTCCGATTTGGGTTTGTTTATAGTTCATCGTTAGTATAGAAATGAGATTAGTATCATCAACGATTGTATAGATATGAGATGGATTAGTATTTCAGATCTGAGAGTAAGAGGAAGATCGAAAGAAGAGAGGAAAAGAGAGAGACGACGAGAGGGAATGAAAGGAGAAACTTACATCGAAGACTTGAAAGCACTCGTTGGCGCTGCTCCGAAGGGAGATGAAGGTGGATTTGAGGAAGAAGAGGCTCCGAACAGAGATGATGCTGTAACAGTCGATTGAAGCGCAGGTTAAGAGGCTAGTGAAGTAGCGGACGATGCAGGATCTAAAATGGTGGATCCTAAATAGGCAAATCTGGAACTAGGGTTTGAGGATTTGGTGAAAGAAAAAGATGGGGAAGTGGTAGATTAACCGGAAGTTTCCCTCGACTGATTAGCTTATTTTTTCAATGGATGGGCAAACGAGAAATTGATTCACTCAATTGATTTTCGCTCAAGTAGAAGATAATCAATCTACGTATACATTTTTACAGGGTTTTTTTGCATTAATTCATTTGGATCCGAGTTTTACCCGGGTTTAACTCTATCCGGATCTTGGATAAGGAATTTTAGGAATGTTGTCTTAAAACCACATTAATTCTTAATTAACACCTAAATTAGAAATATATATAATATATCTAAACCAACCATATTTGTTATTTACCTTAACTACTTCTAACCATAATTATTTAACTATTTATTTCTATATAGAAAGAATATGTGATTAAAATAAATATTTTGTAAAATATTTATTTGGGAAAAAATTGTTCATACAAAAATAATTTATTTTGTTATAAAAATTAATATTTGTTATTTGTAATTAAATTACATAAATAATAATAATAATTTGTCTACACCATCAAATGAAAATAGTTAGTTATTTAATTTTTTATTTAATATTACGTAATTTTTAAAAAATAAATTCAACAATATAATGTCAATGGGTTTAATTCTAAAGATTTGAAAATATTAAAAAAAATACTATCCAAAAATTATCTATCCTAATTTGTTTCTAACAATTTGGACACAAATCTTTCAAATCTTTCAAAAATTTAATGTGATCACATTTGTTACTAAAATCTTGATTATATTCCTAAAAATCTCGAGAAGATCTTCATTTAAATCTGCAAATTATAATTTATGAATTAAATAAACTAACAATACGAATATTCCTAATATATTCGAGTACCATAACGAAATTAATTCTTTAATTATACATATATTTTCGAAATTATCTTAAATGCTTATCATTCCAAAAATTAAATTGATTTCGAATATTTTCACAATCTAAATTAATTACTATAACATACTTTATCTCAACTATTGTTCCTAAAATATTGCTTAAATCTCGATTTTAAAGAAACTAATTACTCTATATATATTTCGAAATAATTAGATTTGGATCCTTTCTTTATTTGAACGGTTTATCAAAATTATATTCCTATAATATATTGTAAAACATTAATGCATTATTACGAGAATATGAATTTAAAGGAAAATCTTTGATATTAATACTCCTAATAAATAGCCGATTTTAATTGCAAAAATCTTTCATATTAATGCTCTGAATAAATATGCAGATTTTAACCGTATATAATAATTGCAATTCACATTTCTTGCCTAAATAAAATGAACTATATTAATTCCGTATTCAATCCACCTAAAAGATTTAGGAAATTTTCTCATGATAAACGATATTTAAAGATATTATCCTAAAATGGTTAGGAATATATGTAGCATATTCTAGATTTGTGATAATTTAAAGATTTTCGAATATATCAACGCCTTGCTAATCAAGATTTTGGATATTCTCTAACACAAAACCCTACTAACCTATCATAACTCTATAAATACTTGATTGTTTCTACTACTTCTGAACACACAAAACACCAGTTGCATTCTTTAACTTTCCAATTTCTAATCTTAATGTGTTGTTTGATTTAATTTCTTGAAATTGGATTCGATTAAACTTTGAATTTTTGTTTATAGGTTTAGAAATAAATCTATTTTGAATTTTCTACGTCAATCATTTTATGAAATTTGAGGAAAAAGATACAATTCTTTTTTTATATTCATCAATTCATTTGTTCATATACATCGCTAGAGTCTTTGGATATTATTAACTTTTTTTTTGTTCGTGTGCAGATTCTTTGTGGTCGATCATGTTGGTGATGAGTTACGACTACTCTCAATGCTAGATGCTTTGGTAACAAGTTAATTTCTATATAATATGGATTTTCCACTTACAGATTTGGAATGTCAGATTTTGTGAGTTGAAAAACTATTTATGTTTCAAAGTGTATATCTAAGCTATACAAAAGAAGTATATTTGACATCTTTTTCTCTTTTTATATTTGTGACTGTAGCCATTAAGAGTATAAAATATCTGCAAAAGATGAAGACCAACATAGAGACACCAATTTGTATCAAAAACAGGCAATTACTCATTTGACTAACTCTGGTTGTGTTATATGTACGTTTATTATTCTTTCAATTTGCTAACGACCTTATATGTGACTATTTAGTAGAGCTGCTGATTTGTATAGGCAGATTCTTCAGCTAAAGCCATTGCTGGAGTACTTTATTAAAATTTCTGACTCAAAAAATTTATATGTTTTGTTTTATATACGTTTATTATATTTTCACTTTCACTTTGGCTAATGATCTTATGTTTGACTATTTAGTAGAGCTTAGCCTAAGGTGCATTAAGTGAATGCACCATTTTACTAAAAGCAATAGACACAGTGAACAAGGTATCATCCATCTGTTTTCATATATTATACTTGATTTGACAAAATTCATGTTTGCTTTTTTATTGTATTCAAACCAATAATAATCATATTGAGCTTACATTTCTTGGGTGTGAAAGTAGCTTGATTACATAAAAACTCCAAAATCAGAAACGTATAAGAACGGTTGAAGAAGACGAGAAGGTTCTCAAAAGAGATTTTTATTTTATTTTATAATGCAACATTTTCTGTTTTTTTCATAGATATTTCAATTAAAAGTCCAAAGGGTAAAATACAGAAAAGACAAGTGAAGCCTAATTAAGGCCCAATACATAATTACACGTCTTTAACATAAATTAGTTTTCTTTTTTAGATTTTTTTTTTTTTTTTCTGTTTTCTTAGGTAAAGCATGAGACATTATTTGACTATTTTTTATACAATTAGAGTAATTTAATTTGTCTTTCGAAATTTTGTCTTTTTGGTTTATTTTAACACATTTATAACGCACATATATAACACTATATAGCATTATCAAACAATTATATAATAAAGAAAACTTTATTATATTCAGATTAAATAATAAATTATATAGGTAATGAGTATAAATTTTATCCCACTAATAAAACTTACTTAGTTTTAAACTTTGGGATAGTAATTTAATAACATGTATCTTATTCGTATAAATATTTAGTCATATAAAAGCCAAATAATACTTTAGGAAATGTTTTAATAAAATTATTATTAAAAAGAAAATTACAAAATGATGTTTAATTTCACGGGATGAGATTATATGGTGGGACGGATTTGGATCAATATTAATACGGGATGGTATACTACGGGTAAAATCCTAGAATTAATAATCAAACTATAATTATACAATCTTAAACACTAAACAAAACAAATATAACTTAAAATTTTGATTTTTAGTTGTAAAATATCGTTATGCGGTATACTATATATCTATAGATTATCTTAAAAATTTTAATTTTTTTATTTAGTAAAAATATAGGCCCGCGGTGTACCGCGGGTTAACATCTAGTTTTTCATACGTTCTCTCAGTTGATTCTCTCTTTTTCACCTAGTTAAGGAGCAGCCACCGAAATTCTTTTAGTTCACAGATAAAATAACAAAAAATTGGCGGCCATGAAAAATAGAGGCGGGTACTAAATAATTTTTAGGGTTAACTCTATGATAACGTTTTAAAAATTGTATATGGGTGCTGTTCGTTTGCTCATTTGGGATATGCATCCAAATGATCCATCCAAATGCTCCATCTGACTAATCCATCTGAATGATGTTCGTTTCTATTTTTGGTAGTTCATCTGAATGGTCCATCTAAATGTTTTTGCTTAAAACTTTGTTTGTTTGGTTGACAACCATTCTCATCTAGATGTTTTTTAGAAGAAAATTACTAAAATGCCCATGTTAACCATATTAATTTTAATTATTGATCAAATATATATTTATAACCAAAGAAATTTCAAATTATTTTAATCCTTAATCTTAACCATATTAATTTTAATTATTGATCAAATATATATTTATAACCAAAGAAATTTCAAATTATTATATTTGACATTTATAAATTTTCATTTTCATGAAATTAATTTTTTTTATAAGAACCAAAGCATATGTTATGACAATTAAGGATCCAACATCATTACCAAACATAAACTCCAAAAATCTTAATAACAACAATCAGTCTTCTCTACGTTGAACCAGAAGAGATTATTTAATCAAATTGTGTAAACGTCAAATTTACAACTAGACACTAGAGTTCCCAAGAAACATGAAAGACACAAGACACTAGACACTAGAGTTCACAAGACACTATCTTGAATGATAATGCAACATGCACATGATGATAATGTACCATAAACCATGGTGGAGTCAACCAAACTCGAACAGACATTACAAGCAAAGCTGCGTAAGAAATTCAGACTAATTTTAGCTGACTCAATCAAATTATTCAGTAAAAGAAATGAGGCCAAAACAGACTCAAATTTATAGAACAAAAAAGAGAGAAAGATATTCACAAACAGAAGCAAAGCTGTTCCTGGATTTACATGCTTCGTTGCAGACAAATCAAACTCAAAAAAGTCATATAACAGGGGTTTCATTAAAGGAAGGAACTCTCAGATTTCCAGAACACACTTAAAAAGCTAGTGAACAAAGTGGATGATCTTGTGGTTAAAACCTCACTTGAAATCTTGTGGTTAAGGAGATGATCAAGTTCTCATTATCTTAGAGATTTTGAAAATTTTAAGAGATCTCTAGTGAACAACTATGTTTTTTTTTGCAAGTTAAGTTGGTGCATTAGCCGCTTAGAGCTCAAGATTCATGTCTACTTGAAATCCCAGAACACTAACGAAGAAGCCACAGAACTAAACACACAATGGCAGCTTTAAATGGTGAAACAGATCAAACATCAAACAATGGCAGCTTTAGATGGTGAAACAAATCAACTCAATACAAAATCAAACATCAAAAACGATAATAGCCTATAAGCATTAGAAACACGAAATCAAACAAAGCCACAACACTCGTCTCCACTGGTACACATAAACTCAATACAAAATCATGAATTAGAGATATATCATACCTCTCAAACAGTGGTTGCAGCGATTTCAATCCGTAACACCTGAAACCCACTTCGAGATTTCAATGGCTAAAGGAGAAATCAAATCCAATAATCAAACCCATGAGTCTTACCTCTCAAACAATGGTCGCAGCTAATTCAATCGTAACACCTAAACCCACGCACGAGAGAGAAGAAGACAGCCGGCGGAGAGATCAGAGAGGAGTGGAGTGGAGTGAGAAGATCAAAGAGGAGTGGATTCCGGCGAGAGATCCGGCAGAG